CAACGTGATCGTCCGCGTCGCGAAATCCGGGCGGTCTCCGCGTGCGACTTTATCGGAACCGCAATGGGGTTTGGCGTAACGGGGTAGTGCTGCGAAGGCGGCGGCACGCGGGGTAGGCGTCGGAGACCTCGGGGAAAACAATAGGGACTGTGTAAACAAACGATAACGTCACCATGGCTACCCGGCGGGGGCCGGAGGCCGTGCGCGCCGACGGACCCTTATAAGCGGTAATAATAATTGTGTTTACCTATACGAAATAATTCGCCCGCGCACACTTTCTCGCCGGCGACGGTCGCGAAGGGACGGGGTACCGCCGGTGATGGTAAAGATCGCGGAAAAATATGCAAAAGAGAACCGTTACCCGTCCGGTAGGTTATTTCGAAACACGTAAATAAGGTAAAGCGCATTACAATTCCTCCGTAGTCGCCCCATTCGGCAACGCGTTCGTTTCTCGCCCGCCTCATCGTATCTCCGCCCACTCGATATCCGTGTTCCGTAAGACACCGTAATAAACAGCCGAATTATTTGTTGAACCCGTTCGAGACGCCGGTCCTAGGGACCGGTTACGAATGCGTGTCGAACGAGAACGTGCGGGAAGAACAATTTAAACGGTGGCAAAAAAAAATATTCCATATTGCAGCGCAGACTTTTGAAATTCATTTTACGTATTGTTTTACATAAACATGTTTCTAAAAAATCATCGATTTCTGTTTGTTTCACATTTTTTTCTTATGTTCTTAGAACGGATGAAAGTCTCGTCGAACTCGTCGAGATGATGTAACGTTTAGTGAACATTGTCAAAAGATGCAATTAATATTTTTAGTTCTTTAACATGGTCACGTGCATTTTTAACCGCGATAATCCGCGTTGTATTTTCTTGTTCGTTGCATTTTTCCCGTACACAAGTCGCATCAGCCGATGGAATGTTATCAGTAATTATCCGATCAATGCTTTTAGTGTTACTTTTACCTATGTCTTCGTTAATATCTGCAAATCTCGGAAACTCCTTCGATGTCTAGAAAATCTTCGCTATTATAGGTGATATATATCTTTACATTTTATATTTATATCATTGACATTAAGAGCGTCTTGCCCGAAAACGTATTTTCCGGAATCAATTACAAGTTGAATGTTGTCAAAGTCAAAGGACTCGTGAAAATGAACGTATTACACAGGAAATTATCCTAGACGAAAATAAAGTTCTACAGTATTTATATAATGTATAAGGTATAACCTGATTCTATAATAAAATCTAAACTCTGAAGTATTATTATGGTTTACTGCTGTGCATTTACCTATAGTATTTTTATCAATAAAATTCGTAAAGATATTATTGGGTCATAATTGCATAATATCATATTAAATGAAGTAATAAAAATTACTATATTAGTTAAAAATTAGTAAGTGGTTAATGCTAGTAAATGAATGTAAAAATAAATAAACAAATAGTTTATACATAAAAATAAATTAATAATTGCTTAGCTTGAAGTATTATTATATTTGTAAAGTATGTACGACCGATTTCGAATTAAAAATTCATCGTGTGACTTTAGAGTAATGTAAATTAAGTAGTATTTAATTTTCACTGTGTACTATTATAACATTTAATTTATATTATCATATTCGAATATTCATCTAGTTAATACTGTCTTAGGTTTCGGGATAATTTTTTCTTGATATTGGTTATACACCTAGTCTTGTCACTTAATATACGATTGAAATAATATAGATACAAGTAGTGTTAACATTCGTTGACTTTTTAGCATAATTTTATTAACAAAACTGTGCCATGAGTAAATATTTTTCTTAAAGTATACATATTTTATAAAATCTAGTATATGGTAAAATATTTTAATTTAAAAGTCTAACAGTTAAAATTTCTTTGAATTTTTCGAAAATAACGCGTATGAGAATCATTCTGTATGCACATCGTATAGTCGATAGTAGTAATTAATATTTCGCATTATCAACAATAATCAAATAAATTTGTCCTGGGGTTATATTAAAACCCATTAAAAAAATTACTTAGGTTTAATCACAGCAACAATATTCATAAAGTAATATCATATTTTATTTTTCCGATCTGACCGTTAGTGGTTTCACAATATTTGCAACGTTATTTTAATGTTGACATTTGACACTATTATTGGTATAAATCGAGTAAATAGTGTACAATAACTGTATTGAATTATAAAATCGACGGGATGAAAACGAATTCATTATATATTCAACAGCTAAATATATTTTTACAGACAGATATATATATATATATATATATGACGTATTTTATTATGAAGGGTTGAAAAATTAAAAAAAAGTATTGCGTATTTAATGACACACATTTTATATAATGTAGCAGACGGTAAAATGGCGTTTTGTTTAATCGCTATAATTTTTTAATCACAATTGCTTTAGCGACTTTTAAAAGTTTTTTTTAGTCGAGCATTATACATACATATAAATAGCTATTAATTTTTTTTTTTATTCCCAAGAAAGTGAAATGCAAAAAGTCTCGATGCGACGAAAAAAAATTATAATAACAATAATAATAAATTACTTAAAATAAATAATATTACGTATACGCTTTGCGTTTCTACGTATATACGTAAAGAACGACGTTTATTTACCGAGAAAACAAGATTGAATTGTGTGCATGTGTGTGTGTGTGCACAAAAATCGAGATAAGTTGTTTGACTTATAATTTCGTAATGGAATATTTTACGAATTTATGCGTACAGAAATTAGATCTGAAGAGAGCGAAAAAAAAAGTTTAGAAACATTTCGAGTTTATTATTTGTTCATTCGGATATCATTAAAACTATTTTCACCTTCACGGGGAATCTTACCGGGAAAAGCATTATCGGGTTTCTTCGATGTCTTTATAGAAAAATGCGATTCGAATTTCAAATCAACCGTTTCCGTACAAGCAGGTATTGCAAAACGATTCGGAATCGAACGCGCATTATTTAAGCGCATGCTGCGGTTCGGTGTGCGCAACGACTCGGGGTGCGGTATATCCGTTGCGCGTTCACCCCTCAGACGCCTGAAGCGAAAACCCACCACAAACGTTCGACTGTATCGTGTTCACGTGCGTGCGCGATCTCGACGCGGTTTTTCGCCAAGAGTCACAAGATACACGAACGACAACAAGGTCCGCGTTCGGCGTTTTGTATCTCTCTCTTTATCTGGAGCTTTTTCTGACTTGCGGACGTGTTGTGTTTGTTGCAATCGATTCCGCGTTGAAATACAGATCGTCCCGTCTGAAGCACGTTCAACTATATCACGTCGTACTAACGCAGTGCGTCGGGTTCGACGCTATGTTCTTTCTAGATTTCTAGAAAAATACCTTATTGTTGCGATTTTCCGATTTTCGCTATCCATATCATGAGCACAATTTGGGGGAGGACTTGGGTATGCTTAACACCTCCAAATGTATTCATGTTAATTTACATTTAAATACTCATTACTACTCGTTATGTATGGAAAAACAAAGTTTTTATTGTATAAATATATAAATTTATCATTTAAATAATGTTGGTGGAAATTCGTCATTCGTCTTTTAGACCCTTAACTGTACACGTATCGTGTACGGGTTATAATCATTGAGTAATATGAAAAAGATAGAAGAGCTTTAGCACCTCCAGGTTTTTCATTAAAATCACGCCCCTGAACCGTACACTATCCGTCTAGACATAAATTGAAAACGCTACGTTTTTCCTGTCAATAGAAGTAAAACGCTAGTACGGAGATATTGGGCGAATTATTTTCTGGCAACAGGACATTTCGTCAAACTATAATAATAGCGATTTTTAAATTTTTACAACACGCGTTGCAACAAAATTAATCCTATTCGTTCGTCAGTTCGGTCGAGCGAGGTACGATTAAATCGTCAAACACAGGTTCTTAAACTACTTTTTTCCGTACCATTTGAGTATATTAAGTCACGTACCATCAACGATTAAAAATAAAACCACACAAACTTTACATAGTTAAATACGTTTATTTTAAATAAAATGGCAATAAAATAATTATTTATTTATTAATACAAATGTATTATTGTTTTTAAATTAATATATGAATTGAATATCAAATTTTTAATTTCGTACTACACACGGGGATGGAAAACGGGTTATTACATACAGTTATTAACAACTAGTTAGATGTTTTTAACTTTGTTAAGTATTAATTAACTAATTATGAAGTATTATATATTAGGTTCAAAACTCAATGAGTATGATTGTATGTTAATTATTAGAAAAATATTGTCGCGAATTGTATTTGATTATTGGTCTATGATAGGGCGTAATCTTAACGTTTTTCTCGGGCGTAAAAATTTCTAGGTCCACCTCTGACTACACACTTAACATTTCGTACTACACAAAACGTGTCGTACACAGTTTTAGTCCCTGGTGCCGACTGCACAGAACACGTACTGCACTCGGAACGGGCTGATCTGCTGGATCGCCGAGGAAAGCAAAAATCAACAATACTTTAGTCTACGAGATTCATGGGTTAACGAATATTAACTTTCGACATTTGGACGAATAACGATTATTAGAAAAACACCACGCGAAGTTGACGACAGTGTGCATACAAAGGATAAACCGTAGTCATCGCGGAACGGAAACAATCATTTCTTTTTCGATCGGAAACATAGAAACCGGTCAGGTGTCGACGCGCATTTTTATAGTTTTTTCCGTTTCGGCCGCGTGATTTTCGCGCACCACGTCCGGGCGCGTATTTAACGACCGTACACGTTTACCGAATCGATATGTCACGAGATCGATGTTGGGCAACGATAACAGTAGGATAAATTCGGGGTTTCTGGTACACCCTCCGAACCTCCGAACATCTAAGCCCCACCCTCACTACCGCAGATTCCCACCCAAACACCCGATTGATAACATATTTTTACATATAATATAGTAATATGTGTACTGTTTTTCTTGGTTTTACGTATTATTATTGCAATGCACAATCGACGATCGTTTGTTTTTCAGGCGAAGAATGCTCCCGCAACTACATCATGGACGAGGACGACGAGGACATCAGCATCAGCGGGGGTGATGGTTGTGGCAGCGACATAAGCGACGACCGGGACAAGGGCAGCGTCGACGGGAGCTCGTCGACCGGTTGCGGCGGAAAGAAGTCCAAGTCCGATCATTGCGCCGGCGGAGGTGGCGGCGGGAACGGAGGCAGTGGTGGCGGCGGCGGAGGAGGTGGTGGCGGTGCCGGTAGTAGTGGTGGAGGGGGTTCGAAGAACGGAGGCAGCGGCAAGCCGAGGAGGGCCCGCACGGCGTTCACGTACGAGCAGCTGGTCGCGTTGGAGAACAAGTTCAAGACCACGCGGTACCTGTCGGTGTGCGAGCGGCTTAACCTAGCGCTGTCGCTGTCGCTCACCGAGACCCAGGTGAAGATATGGTTCCAGAACCGGCGGACCAAGTGGAAGAAGCAGAACCCCGGGCTGGACGTGAACAGCCCCACGGTGCCGCCGCCCGGGCCTCCCGGACCGTCGGCCACAGGCGGGCCGCCGTTCTTCCACCCTCTCGCCTATTCCGCGGCGCACCACTACCAGACGCAGCAGAGCTACTCGGCCGCCGCGGCCGCCGCGTACTTTCACCACCTGGGCGCGCACCATTCGACCATCGGCGGACACCATCCGCCCTCGTAATGCGCCCGCCCACCAACCCTTAGGTCGCGGCACCGTGACCAGATCTCAGTAACCGCGTCGGCGACCACTGCGTGCGCGGCCACCCGGAAATCCTTTGTCGCCTCGTCCGCCCGCGGTCGTCGTGCTCCGCGACGTTCGGCCACGCCGACCACACCGGCGTGTGCAGTTCCAGTTATTGGTCATTATTATTATTATCATTATATTATATTATTATTATTATTATTATTATTATTATTATTTATGCTATTACTACGATTATAATTATTTTTATCATTATCATTATTATCGTTGTTGTTGTTGTTTCCGTTGTTGTTGTACGAGTCCGCAACGTTGCCGTCGTTTTCGATTTCGCAAGAGAGCCAAAACGGCATTAGATTTCCGGTGGCTCGCGCGTGTAGATCGTGTCCATCGCGTCCCGGTAGACCCGTGAATCGAGTCCGACCATCGGGCGCGGGGAAAATGTCACCGAAAACGTTACCCATCCGATGGGGATCGCGCGGTCGGTTGTCGGGCACGTCGCTCCCGGAGACCGTCCGACCGGTCGTGTGGCCGCGAAACGGTCGGTCGTCCGCGAGCCCCGTTCGTTCATAGATCGTGCGATAAAAATACGATCGATTGATGTTCACCATTGTGTCGCGAACCCGATCGTCGGTTACGATTGAACGGCCGTCCGACCGTGTTGCGCGTGAACCGTTTGCCGTCGTCCAATCCGACACTACCGGTGAGAAATAATAATACCAACGGATCGTTTCGCGTCTTCTCGCGGTAAAGCGTTGAGATCGCGTACGGCAGCTCGACGACATTATTTATTGTTTTTGTTTTGTTAACATGTTTTCACGTTTCCCCTAGTCGCACCGCGACCGGTACGCGACGAGAATTCTCTGCTTATCCTATTGCTTTTGTTCGGCGCGCACCGCGTTCGCGTCAACGCGTAAAAATCGTACCGATCTGCGGTACAACTGTGTGGCGGACTTGCAGTGGCTCGAGGGAGAAGATAAACGTCGGACGATCGCGTTGTCCGCGCAGCCGGGTGCTCTTAAGGTTCGGTCTCCGATCAAGTACGGTACACGTGTTTATCCAGTGCTTGGCTTAGCAATAAACGGTGAACGCATTCTTCTGAAGATACGTTTTGCGTACCCGACTAATTGAAAACCGAACATCACCGTGTTCACCCCCTTGCGACACCCTCGAACATGTTACCGTGAACCAACGAATATTCCGTATTGAATTTTGTATTACTTTCAACATTTGAACCTCGACGTACTATGTACGTTTTCGCCCAAAGACATTAAAATCAGTCCAAAATCGTATTTGTGACAAAAAAATACCACCACGCGTTCTATTTAACGGTAATAGGTAAAACGCCGAGAAAAATTCTCGAGGTTAACGTTTCATTATTATCAAGTACCGCTGCATCGAAAATTTAACACTTATTGGGATGTGTTTTTTATAAAAATATCAACTTTTTGTAATTTTGTGAAAGCTGAAATCGAATCAATTACCGGATTTTTTTTTTTTTTTAACTATTAGTGGAATAACTGAATAACTGATAATTTAGTCGGGGTATTCAATCTCCCCTCAAGCCAAGCACTGGTGTTATGTCATGCGGGTTACGTAATAAATAATTACAAACCGTCCAACACCTCGTAGCTCAGCGACGCGCTCGGGAAACATTTCACACAAACGGGTCCAGTGTACCGAGTATGTGAAACGGAACGTATGACGTGGACGATACGCCTCGCGCGAAACGTTCCGTCTTTTGGACTTGACGGTGCGACAATCAACAATCGATGTTCGTATGAATCGGACCGCGTACAAAAAGTGTGTAAAAAAGAAAACTATCGTACATTATGTTATTGTGTATAATTACTAACATTGTATAATGTTTTATTATCATCATTGTATGTTCTACTGTAATATTGAATACGGAATTCGGTGTCTGTCGCGTTAGGCGGTTACATTTAATTTATTTATTATTTTTTTTTTAATATTGTTTCTATCGATTGTTCGTGAGTATTATGTCATACGTGTAAATAAACCTCACACACACACACACACACACACAAGCGCGCGCCCATACGCCCGTTGTAAATAACTATATACCATATGTGTACAGTAATAAATTTCGAAAAATAAACGATAAGCGTATTTATGTACGTACCGTGTCCTTAAACACTGTTGTTGTCGTTTCGAACCCTTACGACTGTTATTGCCCGCACCCGTCGCCGGGATAGTAACAGCGACGGAGTAATAATCGTACGCAAGTCGTGTCCGGGCGCATGTGTACACCGCCACCCGTGTTGTACGCGGAAGTTCATACGATCGTATACGATTAGTCGTGGTACAATCGTTTCGGCGAGAGCGTGGTAAACCCACGAGGGATTAGACGGGCGCGTAATTCGAAAGGAGGAATAACGAATATCTAGGGGCGGTGGAAGAAAAAAAAAATGATCGTGCAAAACCTGTGACGGTCGGGGGTGGGGTTAGATGGATATGTAATGTATTGTGCTATACGCGGGCCGATCGCGCACCAGCTATAAAATATCGCGTCATGCGCGTGCACATCTATTATTCAACGACGCGACGCCGTAAAAATCGTTTTCGTTGCGAGGCACATTATTGTCGTCGCAACGCTGCCGGTGATGTAACCGGTCGTCAGGCACAGGTCCCTTGTTTCGGGGTCGGTACACGGGCAAACATTTCGCTCGTACACGGCCCCGAGGAAAACGCAATACTGCCAGCCGTATGGATCGTTGCGTAACGTGGCCGCGACGGTATTGAAAATGATCAATGATCACGCGCGCGTATACCGGATTACACGACCGGCCGACGGGTCAAGAAGAATCTTTTCGGGGACAGTGGTAGGTGCGCGTACTTGGAGATCGTCGACGGAAAGCAGTGGCATTACGCACCGTCGTGCCACTGCACTACTCGGTCAAATACATCCCGGACCGACGGGAGCAATTTTTTTTTTTTTTTCAACGGCCCAAAGAAGACCATTGTAGACATAAGACGATGTGCGCTGCACTCGTATTGTTGGTTATACTTGTGAACTTGTGTACAACTATACTTGTTGGCAATCCGTTTTCAAGACGGATCGCTACGTTTCGCGTACTAAATTCTGAACAGGCGGGTGTTTCGGGCTCCGTGAACTGACCAGTGCTAACGAGTCTCGCAAAGGTTAGGTGAATTTTTTTTTTTTTTTCAATTCTTTATTGATTTCCCCCCGCGGCATTACAGTAACACTGTTACACACACCAGATCAAGTACGCGAATATTTATAGTACGTTTTACGAAGTGACGCGAAATCAATAATAAAATATCTAAATCACTAACTCAATACATAATAATTATTGTGTTTAAGAATTTAACTCGTAAGCAGTGGCGTATCCAGAATTCATTTAACGGGGGTATTTTAAAATTTAATAAACTTATGGTAAGTAGGAGGCTCTGCCGCCCCTCCTATATCACATAAATAAATACCATGTATTTATATAAATTATTATACTAATGAAAATGATTATATTAAGACAATGTATGTAAAATCGACAAGTTGTATACAACGTTTATTCAAATTATACTGTAAGTTTGTAATTTAATGAAATACCATAGAATATGGTCGATGGGGTGTGTTCTAATATCCATATCACCCCCCCCCCCTAAATAGGCCCTTCTCGTAAGTATTATTCGAATTGCGCAGTTCGAAAAATAGAGTAACATATAGGATCTTAAATCGTCAGCTCGAGGTGTCGTATAAACCGATCGCGGTAATATTTTAGGGTGACATATATTTTTTGATTTCGACGTACTGAAAAACACCTTTTTAAATTTTTACAGTTATTGGTTATAATAGGTATTGATGAAAGTGTCCACTTATTGTTCCAATATTATTCTATTATTATACCGTTTATACGTAGGTATATTATTTATAGTATATTTCCGTCGTGGTGTAGGTCGATGTGCCGCAGATTATGTGCATAATACAAGTGTTAATAAATCAAACTGAATATTTAGGTTAAAACTGTTAGAAATGTAAAACTTTAAATTAAAATTTAACGTGGCAGCGATAAAACTATACTCGGAATTCCAGCTGTTGCATTTTTTACTTTCTTTTCTCATGAAAATCTTAGAAAGTTAAATGATTTATGGACTGAACATTTTTAATTTGCTTTATGTATACTTTCATAAGACTAAAGTCTTTACTTTGTAAGCAATGTATTACAAAGTAAAATTTTAAACAAAAGAAACGTTTCATCAATACCTATTATTTTAACCCAAATTACATTTACCTCCTACATCTGAAAATTATGTGTAGTTAAATGAAACATAACTACACATTAAATTATTGTACACAGTTCTTTACTATAGGATTATAAACAATAATAAGAAAATAATTTATGATTTCGAATAAAAAAAAAATGGTTAAATATTCAAAAAGAGTTTTTTTTTTTTTTTAATAATAATTCCTTAAGTTCACATAAACAAAAGTGAAAATTATTAATCAACTGTTTAGTCTGTGATTCGTCCAACTCAAAAACTGTTGAATTTCTATTTTGATTTTTTTTTCGAGTTTTTTGTTCTTCTAAAACGTGTACAGCACGACATTGTTGAAATTATTAAATAAATCGTGTACGCAAATACGTGCAGTTGGCATGCGCACACGTTTATACGCCTCCTACATGCTTACTTCAATAAAACGTTTTAAATGGGTTTCCGAAAACTTAAATCAGATTATCTTACAAGATTTTAAAGTTGTCATTAGAAAACATTATTCATTTGCGATGGAAGAACATTCACTTTGTTGCCGACGTATTTAAACACATAATTATATGTGTATATAGTTCATAAATACATTACGTTGGTCGTAAAATTAAAATACCGGAATCCCACGAATTAATATCATTAATTACATTTAAAAATTAAGTCTAAATATAAAAAAAAAGTAAGTAAATCTACTCACATATATATAATATACATGGTTAAATCGATTCACACGTACTGTGTACTAAAATATTAGAGTTCGATATTAACATATGGAATTTAACGGAATTAATATTTGAACTAATCTTGTCGGTACACTTCGGTCCAATCGAAAAGCTATTAAATGTTCCAAATAATATCGATAAAAAAAAAGATGTAAGCTAAACAACTCAGCTGCTTGCGCTGTTTTTCGCGCAAATATCTATGACCGGTTTCGATTTAAAAAAATTATCGTCGGAGTAGAAAATGTGATGGCGAAAACCGTTTATCTTTTTCTTCCACAGATTATGTTTCGATTGTTTAATAACTGCCGATAATTCGTGCGTTGGTCGACCGACGGACACTTTGCACGCAGTCGATTTATAATATATAACACCGCACACGTCCGTGCAGTACTACATCGATGGTCGTCTTCCGATCGTACAATGTACGTTCCCGACGTCGGTCTGCGGACTTTGAAGGTTGATTGAAAAACCCGCAGTCCGGAGGGGGGGCGATGTTCGTAAAACGATGTTCCGTAATTCAATTGTACAGGCAGTGGTGTATTGATAAATATATTTCTGGGTATACGCACTAAAAAAAAAAAATATGGACGTTAATCCTAAAATAAGTTTTCTCGCTTTGCTTGACAATTTTTTTCTTTTGATACTTTCGAAAAAATTTAATTAATCCTTTATGTCCTACATGTTTATAACTTCTAACTATAAAATATAACACCACGATATATACATTTGCATGGGCTGAATATGCCTACACTCCATACTATCAATACTTCAATGTGATTCGCTACAATTAACAAAATACATTAAATACAGCGTACACTGTAATCTTCGACGGATAAATATTTCATTTGATTTCATAGTTCATAACAATTTTTTTCCAATAAAATTGTTATTATTATTTTTTTTTTTTTTAGTTGTTGAGTTATTTTAGAAGCGTATACCCGTAAAATAATATTTTACATTAGGTATATGCAGAAAATCGAAAATCTGCTGATGAGTATACGTCAATACACTCCTGTAACAGCACAGGTCATCTGTTATTTTACCGTTCGCACTGAATTTACACGATATGACGTGGACCAGGAGCGCACACGGGGCCAGTGTTAGGGAGAGGCAAAATGGGGCATATGTCCAGGGCCTCTAAATATTACGATAAATTGGCCAAAAATGATGCGCGGGAGGAATTAGCCACTTCTTACCAATTTTGTTTTTTTTTTTAATACATTTTTATTTTTACAAAATATCTCATGTTATTAAAACCAAAATTATAATAATTATTTTATGTGCCTAATAAATTACATTAGTAGACGTACCAAAACCTACATATTTTACATATTTATAATCATTTTTTTATACTTAATTTTTTGGTTAACTTAAATTTAATTAGTTTAGTTTTCATTTTTTTTTTCAATATTCTTAAAATTTAATTTTTATTAGCTTAATGTGATGGTTGAGACACAAGTTTTTGAACGTCGTATACAGATAAGATCTATCAATTATAGAATTAAAAATATTAATAATCCAACAATATTGTATTAATGCACTCATGTCACGTATTGACGTACTTTATGTGTTAGGGCTACCGTGGACCCCCAACATGAGTATCGTGAACCTCTAAAGTAGTGGTTATCAACCGGGGTGACATGGACGCAGTGCAGGGGTGATACGAAATCTCCACGGGAAAAAGAAAAAATAAGAAAAGAATTTTAATAAAATCTTTATTATATTATTTATATTTATTATTTAGATCCGACAAACACGTACAGTATTATGACTAACGCGAACTCGCTGTATTATCAATTATTTTATCAACTTAAGTCGTTAGTCAGTTATTTTTTAGTCCCTAGATATGTAGTATTATTATAGTATATTATAGCTCTACAACTCTAGAAGACAATGAGACTCAGTCTTTTCACCATCAGCCCTCGACTTCCTCAACTTTGTAAAAACCACCAGGGCCCAATTTCTCATCAGTTTTTATAAAAATCATTAATATTTATTATCTCTCTCTCTTTTTTTTTTTTTTTTTTTTTTTTTTAATTTGCAAATTTAAACTTAAATATGTCATTGTTGGACATTTTTAAATATCTTTATTTTTCTTTTGTTATTTCAAGAATTATTTAAGATAAGTTAAGATTATTTATTATTTTAAAGTGACGCGGTGTTTGATTCTAGTGGTTAAAGGTGACAC